CCCATCCTGGCCCCTCCACTCATCCTGTCCCCTCCACTCCTCCGCGCTCTGCAGCTGGCGAAGCAAGGGCAGCGCTACGTGGAGCTGCCGTACGTGGTGAAGGGCATGGACGTGTCATTCTCGGGCCTCCTCACGGCAGTTGAGGGCCTGGCACAGCGCGTTGCTGCACCGGATGCCGTGGGGGAGGATGGCTACACCGCAGCTGACCTCTGCTTCTCCCTGCAGGTCTGCCCTGCTCCTCATGTAGGCTTCTTTATGGGTTTATATTATCGTTTTTTATGAGCTCTGAATGGGCATATTATGAGCCTTCTTGGGGCTTTCTTACAGATGCTGGGTACGAAATGAATCAGTCTGACTGTGAGGGCCGTTGTGCGATCGGACTGTCTTTTGCGCTGGTTGATTGCTTGCTTCCTTGCTTGCTCCCTTCCTTGTGTGGTGCACAGGAAACTATCTTTGCAATGCTGGTGGAGACAACCGAGCGGGCCATGGCACACTGCAACAAGCGAGACGTGCTTATAGTGGGGGGCGTGGGCTGCAACATTCGCCTGCAGGAGATGATGCAGCAGATGTGCTTAGAGCGAGGGGGACGGCTCTTTGCCACAGACGACCGGTACTGCATTGACAACGGCGCCATGATCGCTTACACTGGGCTGCTGGCCTTTCAACATGGCGGGCTCAGCATGACTGTTCCTGTAGCAGAGTCTACTTGCACTCAGCGGTTTAGAACCGATGAGGTGGAGGCGGTGTGGAGGGAAGGGGAGGGGAGAAGGGCAGAGGGGGCGGAGGAGGGGTTGGAGGGAGGAAGAGGAGTTGTGGGAGTGGAGGTTGCAGCACGGGATGGAGAGCGGAAGCATGGGGCTGAGAATGGAGATGCGGTTGGAATTGGTGGGAAGGGGTGTGCAGGTGAGCAGGAGGGGTTGGGAGTGGTGGATCATGTGGCAGGGCATTTAGAAAAGAAGCTCAAGGCTGGTGGGGAGGAGAGAAGGCAAGAGAGGGAAGAGAAGGCAGCAAAAGAGGAGCCCTCTCTTATGCTGGTAGGCTGAAGTTCAAAGTTTATTTCCTCTTGAGTGCTGATTTGTGTCCTTGTAAATTGTACCTGCTCATTGTATATTAGGTTAAATGGATTGCTGCTTGGTACAACATTCACTACTCTTGTTGCATAATCACTTCCTAGTGTCTAGTCAAGTGACTTCAGATGTACCAGAACCGAATGAAACAAACACATTGCAATACTTTTGGGTGGTAAACATGCCCTATTGTACACAACATCAGTGGCAGTCCAGTGCTTCTGGTTCTGGCCACAGTTCCTAACGCCTTTACACAAGGCATTTATTCATTCTAATCTATCCTAAAAGTGCCTGAGTGTAGCACTCATTCTCCTGAGGGTGACTCGGCTGCTAGAGCCGGATATTCTGCGACGGGCACCAAACCTGCCGATGCCAACTGAAATCCCTGTTGCTGCCAAGCAACTCCTCTCCTCCTCCTCCTCATCATCCATGCAGAGTTGGTTCATGTAGCACACACTCCCCTTCCCACCCAATCCAAAGCCCTGGCCGCTGTAACTCTCATCCTCCTCATCGTCATCCCCAAACAGCTGGTTTGACAACACGTTTTTCTTCAACGACTTCCCAGCATCCTTCGCCTCCATGGTCCATCCCATCCCACTGCTGCGCAAGCCTTGTCCGATCCCCTTATTCACACTCCCCTTCCCATCAAACATGAAGTCGCTGTAACTCTCATCCTCCTCATCGGCCCCGAACAGCTGATTTGAAAACACACCTTTCCCCACCGGCTGCCCAACATGCGTCGCCTCCATGTTCCATCCCTTCCCACTGCTGCAAAAACCTCGCCCGATCCCCATCTTCACACCCAAGAAGTTAGTGCCGCTGCTGCGCAAGCCTTGTCCGATCCCCTTATTCACACTCCCCTTCCCATCAAACATGAAGTCGCTGCAACTCTCATCCTCCTCATCGGCCCCGAACAGCTGATTTGAAAACACACCTTTCCCCACCGGCTGCCCAACATGCGTCGCCTCCATGTTCCATCCCTTCCCACTGCTGCAAAAACCTCGCCCGATCCCCATCTTCACACCCAAGAAGTTAGTGCCGCTGCTGACTGCAGAGGAGGAAAAGTCACCGTGCGCAGAGGAGGAGGAGGAGGGGGTGGAGATGGAGCTATCCGAGGAGAGGTCAATAAGACACACACTGTGGCTGCTGCAGCTGCTCTCACTGCGGAACATGCTGCAGCAGCCGCTGCTCTCCTCTGCTCCCACCTTCACACTTTCTGCGACCAGGAATGAAGGAGCTACCTCCTCTGACTCCACACCCAAGAGGAACGCTTCCTCCTCCGAGCCATCAATACATCCGTTAAAGGCAGCTGGAGCCTCAAGCTTCGCAGCAGAGGCCTCGACATTGATGTCATCAGCAGGAGCCTCGACATTGACGTCAGACGCCCCAACAATGACAGCATCAGCCTCCAGCTTGGCAGCAGGAGCCTCGACCATGAGCGGAGCAGCCTTGGTTGCTACTTGATCATCGCTTGACCTGGTCCACTGGAAGTCGATCTGCCAAGTTGCAAGAGAAAGCCGCGTTAGCATCTGCTATAAGTGACTCTGACTTGGTAAAGTAAGAAGTTAACTTGCAAGATATGAACAAAGGGGAAACGGGAAGGTGAGAGTTTGTTCTTACCAGGGACGGAAGAGAGACCAAGCTGCAAACATAGCGTGCAAGGGAGGCATCCTGCTCCCAGCAGCTCGAGAACAGAACATCAATGTCCACGCAGGGACTCGCAGCAACGATGCCGGCCATGCTGTTGATTGTCGTTGTAGGGACGACGGACTGGCTAAGTAGCTTAGAGCTAAGAGACTGATATCGAGCTCTCAGAAGGTTCAAACTGCAGGTACTGAGGCCTTGTTAAAATCAGGGGACTGTAGGAACTGAAAGGCAGATTGATGATTCACAGAACTGATCAATGAATGGGAAAGAATCTCCCTAAGCTCTTTATACTTTCTTCGATTGCTGAACTGAGGGGTATGACTGGAGGCGAGAATGGGGTGTGAGGCTGAAGCAGGGACGGAATGCGGCGAGAGGCACGGAGGGGGTGGGAGGGAGTCAGTGGTGCGAGGCAGCTTCGCGAATTCGTCGCCTGTGGTTTGGGTTGCTTGAGGGTGGCATGTTCGCAAGGGCTCGGTTGGTCTTCGGTGCCCATGGCGAGGCCTAAAGTGTCGAGGCGCAGTCCGTTTGAGCAGGGACGACTCAGAACGCTACAGATGTGCTTTTTGTAACAGCGTGGAGAGACCCTACTGGAGCACGCAATGCGTAAGGGTCCGTTGCAATCGGGAGTACGAGTGCGGCCCGGGCGATTGTGAAAGGCGGGAAACTGGCTAGGTTCGGAAGCTGTCGAGATTCGCGCGGGGATTGTGGTATGGATTGACAAACCTAGTGAATGTCGGGGCACTGAATCACTCACAATGCTCAGGGGTCCGCCGCTACCGGAAACATGAAATGCGGCACGGGAGTGAGAAAAGTGGGAACAACGGTAGGTTCGGACGTTGGCGAGAGGCTTGGAAAATGTGGTATGGTATCCCATAGTTACGAAGCTCAGCTGTGACCTAGAGAATACCAGAAAAGTAAGGGCTTGTCGAAGGGGTTGCCTTGAGAGGAAAGTCACGTGAAACTTGCCAAAAACAAGTTCAGAGAGATCACAGTACCTTAAAGCCCGAGTACAGCATGATTATTTTTAAAGCCCGCGGGCCAAATTGCGGGCCTTGCGGGTCAAGCATTTAAAACTTGACGAACTAGTGTTTGCAAGGTTTTAAAAAAAGCGCGCCTGCAATTTGGGACTTTCGGGGACTGAACCAACCCCCAGGGCGAAATAACCGAAATCGATAACGTTCGCCAAACCCCAGACCAGAAAAACCCCCTCGCGTCAAGCTTTTAAAAGTTGTGCAATTTGGGCTGCCGGCTTTAAGTTCAAGAACTACATATACGTTTTGACATCTCTACATAATACAGAGCATCCAGCGAAAAGTGCATAGTGGTAACAAGCGCAGAACTGCCAGCCAATGGCATTGCCCGTGGCCTTGATTTTGAACATGACCATCATCTGTAACAGTTATTGCGACAGGGACTTTAACAGCAAGTGTGACAGGGGCAGAGCCCCATTCACCTCCTGGGCTGGCCTGTGGCAGCACTCCATGCTGTGAGTACATGATCCACTACAGCTGGCACAGTGGCACCGTTACCAACCATTACTAACCATGGCTAACCGTGCTAACCATTACCATGTGTGTAACTATGACCGACTGTAACAGTGACATGAACAGCGAGGGTAACAGGGATTACGCTGCCCGTCACCTCCTGGGCTGGCCTGTGGCGGCACTCCATGCTGTGAGCACATGATCCACAATGGCTGGCACAGTGGCACCGTTACCAACCGTTACTAACCGTGGCTAACCGTGCTAACCGTTACCATGTGTGTAACTATGACCGACTGTAACAGTGGCATGAACAGCGAGGGTAACAGGGAGCACGCTGCCCGTCACCTCCTGGGCTGGCCTGTGGCGGCACTCCATGCTGTGAGCACATGATCCACAATGGCTGGCACCCCCACCCCATGTTTCACCTGCATGCATAGTGAGGATAACATGTTGGTATGAGCACAACAGGAGCAGCACTCCATGCTGCCGGCACATGGTCCTCGTTTTCTATGCCCGGAATAGTGGCACCACCCCCACCCCATGCTTCACTACAACACACTTTTGAAGGCGCCTTAAAAGCGAAGTGCAGAGCGACAGACACAAGCTTTAGAGAGGAGAAAACAGACTCTCCCGCCACAGGTGAGAGGGGCGGAATCAGATACTCCCCTCCATCCACCTCTCCCTCACCCACTCGACCGTGAAAACATGAAGGTTTTCCCAGCCCCTAAGCACTGACTTTCTTTGAGAGCATTGGCATCACACACACACACCCTTCATCCACCTACCTTCTGCAAACTATCCCCTAATCACCCACCCGTGCCAACACCAGAGGCCCGCCATCTTTGATGCGCAGCGCACCTCTTTCCATAACTGCAAGGCTCACACAACCCCCTTTCCACACACATGCACACCTCCATGCATTCCCCTCCTGTCCCCCACCCACCCGTGCCAACACCAGAGGCCCGCCATCTTTGATGCGCAGCGCACCCGCTTGCAAGACCACCAGGCTACACGTGCAGCTATCCTCCTTGTAAAGAGGGTCCTTTTACACGTTCCACACGCACGCACACCTCCCTCCATCAATTCCCCTCACCTGTGCAAACACCAAGGGCCCCCCATCCCGCATGCGCAGCGCGTCCGTTTCCATAACCGCCAAGTCAGCACCGATCGCAGGCGCCAGGTCAGTCTTGTTCACCACCTGATGATGCCACGTCAGCATGGCGGAAAGCACGAAGAAGAGAGCACAGAAGTAAGGAGGCAAGAGAAGTGGGGAGAATGGGGGAGAGAGAGGGGAGAGGAGGGGTGGGGTTCAATGTCATTTCTCTCTCCCATTACAATACCTCCACACCCGCCTTCTCTCAACACACACCACCCCTGCTCACACCTCCATATCCCCACGGAATCAACCAGGCCATCCCCAGAGCCTCATTGCTTGTACACCTCGCAGCAACAGGTCCGCCTGGGAGACCCCAGGGCCACTCTTCCTCGAGATTTTCCTCCCCATGTGCACTCACACCCATCGTCCCCCCCCCCCCCCCACCTTTGAAGCGCCTCAAACGTCACCCCAGAGCACACTCCGTTCCCTCAACATTTTCCCTGCAAGAACACTTGTACTCACATCCATCCTCCTCCATCCAACCAACCCCTTTCCTCTTTCCAACAGGTCTGCCACTGCCAGCATAATATCTCTCCTTTCCGTCCTTATGAGGTCACCATGGCTGCAGTGAACGTTTTAAGGAAGGTACGGCTGGGAAACGGTTTGAAAGAAACACCTTACTTGAGAAACGTGATTTTCTCACACCCCATTCCTCTCACCAGCAGGTCTGCCTGTGTGATGCCAGGGCCGCCCTTCCTGGGGATCTTATCCCCGCCCGACACGTCAATGATGTAGATGATGTAGTCTGCTAGCTCTCGGCTGAAGTTGGCCGCTAGGTTGTCTGCGAGGGAGGTGAACAGGGGAGAAAATTGGGGCGGGAAGGGAGGGGTATCTGTCTTACCCCCATGCATGTCACACGTCAATGAGGTAGTCTGATAGCTCCCGGCTCACGTTGGCCGCTAGGTTGTCTGGGGGGGAACTGGACGGGAGACAGAGAATGGAACCAGATGGGGAGATAGATGAGGAAACAAATGGGGTCTCATCACCAACCCCCGACACATGAATGATGGGGTCTCATCACCAACCCCCGACACATGAATGATGTAGATGATGTGGTCTGCTAGCTCTTGGCTGACGGAGGTGCAGAGGGGGATGTGAGCAAAGGAGAATACGGGAAGCCTCAATTCGCATGCCTCCACACACTCAGCACTCCTCCCTCCACCGCTCTCAACACTCCCTTGCCACGCCCTTCCTCTCACCTTCCATCCGTCATTCCACTCACCTCCTCCTGATTCGCACAACAGCATGTGGGATATGAACCGTGCTGACGCTCATACCGTCAGCGCATGGCGGCATGGAGACATGATGAGACCCCTTCATGCCACAGTGCCACCCACTCACCTCCGCCTGACTCGCACAGCAGCATATCCGCCTTGAACTCAGTGGAAAGCTCCTCCAGTGGTGGCGTGAGGACAGCCAGTCACATGCAAACATGAGAAAAGACCCTTCATGCCACCCACAGTGCCACCCACTCACCCCCGCCTGACTCGCACAGCAGCATATCCGCCTTAAACTCAGAGGAAAGCTCCTCCAGTGGCCCCAGGTTGATGCTGATATCCTCCCGGATGGCGGCGTGCGGACAGCCGCCCGTCTCCACCGCCCGGATGCGGCCGGGCGGCGAGAGGGCGGCGTGCTTGATCAGGAACTCGCCGTCCTCCTGCGTGAAGATGTCGTTGGTCACCGCTGCCAGGCTGTACTGCTCTCTGAGTGTGCGACACAGGGCCAACATCAGGGCAGTTTTCCTGCAGGAGAATAATGCGGGTTGCGAACGTGGAGTGGAGTGCATGCAGAGGGAAGCAGGGGAGCAGCAGAGCGCATGAGGGAAGCTGGTTGTTGTCTTGTGTGCAAGATGTCGTTGGTGACAGCTGCCTGCCTGCACTGGTCTCTGAGCGTGCGACAGAGGGCGAGCATGAGGGCGAGCATGAGGGCGAGCATGAGGGCGAGCATGAGGGCAGTCTTCGTGCAAGGGAACAGTTGGGATGCAGGGGAGCAGGAGGGTGGAGATGCCGTGGTGACTGCTGCCTGCCTGCCAGGCTGCACTGGTCTCAGAGCCTGTTTTAGAGTCGACTTAAGAACGCGGCACAGGGCGAGAATGAGAGCAGTCTCTCTGTGGGATGGTTAGGGGCGCATGGGTGAGTGGAGGAATGGGGGTGCAGGGGACACATAGTGAGCATGTGTTGTTGATTTCCACTGCCAGGCTGTATTTGTCCCTTAGTGTGTGACAGAGCGCCAGCATGAGAGCAGTCTTTCTGTGAGATGATTGGGGACGCATGGCTAAGTTGGAAAAAACGCTAGTTTCAAGTTGCGTATTGAGTTTATACGCATCTAGAATTCGTACGCTGCGGATTTTTCTAAAATTCGCCAAATTTGGCTCGGGCTGACCGGAAAAAAAAATCAGATGAGTTCGCGATCTGGCGAACTCAAATTTGAGTCTCGAAATTCAGATCTGAGTTCGCGCGTTGCTAAAGCAACTTCAGATCTGAATTTCGAGATTGTTGGTGGATCATTCCCTCTTATCCACCGCTCACAACCCACCTTCACCCCATCCAATTTGTTGCCAACTTCTACCAGAATCACTCAATGTCAGGCCGCTTTTCCCTTCAATAATCTTTGCGTTCAATTTCTTCCTCTTCACTTTGACGATGACCTACTACAGCAGCAGTTAGGTAATGGATTACTACAGCAGCTCCGGTTTCCATCTCTTGGTCGAGCATATAACCTGCCCGGGATTTTTTTTTCCTGCCCGGGCAAGCGGATTCTTGTGCGTACCAGACCCCTCCCGGCCAGCGTTTTGCGTTTAGACGCTAGCGTTTATACGAAAGCGTACAAAACGCGAAACGCGTTTTTTCCAACTTAGGCGCATGGGCGGGCGGGGAATGGGAGTGCAGGGGGAATGGGAGTGCAGGGGGAATGGGAGTGCAGGGGGGATGGGAGTGCAGGGGGGATGGGAGTGCAGGGGGGATGGGAGTGCAGGGGGAATGGGAGTGCAGGGGGGATGGGAGTGCAGGGGGGATGGGAGTGCAGGGGGGATGGGAGTGCAGGGGGGATGGGAGTGCAGGGGGAATGGGAGTGCAGGGGGGATGGGAGTGCAGGGGGGATGGGAGTGCAGGGGGGATGGGAGTGCAGGGGGGATGAGTGGGAGTGAAGATGTCGGGTAACCGCTGCCAAGCCTTTCTTGTCCTTTAGCGTGCAGCACAGAGCCAGCACGAGAGCCGTTTTGCTGCCAAAGATTGTGAGGGGGGAGTGTGTGAATGTGGGAAACGGGGAAAGTGGGAATGAGGGAAAGGGGGAATGAGGTAAATGAGGGAAACGGGGAAAGTGGGAATGAGGGAAGTGAGGGAAACAGGGAAAGTGGGAACGAGGGAACGAGGGAACGAGGGAATGAGGAAAGCGGGAAAGAGGGAACGAGGGAAAGAGGGGAAAGGGGAACGAGGGAAAGAGGGAATACCAGAAATAGAAAAATTGGGGGAAAACGTCGTAGAGGGAAAGAGATGGATGGGCGTCAGAGGGAATGGGGGAATGGGGGCGGATGGGGAAATGGGGGAATGGTTGAGGGCATAGAGGGGAGGGGAGGGACAGTTGGTCTCTGATGGTGCGATATAGCGCCAGCAGAGAGCAATGGGCTGTGAAGGGGATCAATGGGGTAATAGGGGAATGGGGGAATGGGGGCGGATGGGGAAATGGGGGAATGGTTGAGGGCATAGAGGGGAGGGGAGGGACAGTTGGTCTCTGATGGTGCGATATAGCGCCAGCAGAGAGCAATGGGCTGTGAAGGGGATGAATGGGGTAATAGGGGAATGGGGGAATGGGGGCGGATGGGGAAATAGGGGAATTGGGGAATGGGGGCGGATGGGGAAATAGGGGAATGGGGGAATGGGGGCGGATGGGGAAATAGGGGAATTGGGGAATGGGGGCGGATGGGGAAATACGGGAATGGGGGCGGATGGGGAAATAGGGGAATGGGGGAATGGGGGCGGATGGGGAAATAGGGGAATGGGGGAATGGGGGCGGATGGGGAAATAGGGGAATGGGGAATGGAGGCGGATGGGGAAATAGGGGAATGGGGGAATGGGGGCGGATGGGGAAATAGGGGAATTGGGGAATGGGGGCGGATGGGGAAATAGGGGAATGGGGGCGGATGGGGAAATAGGGGAATGGGGGAATGGGGGCGGATGGGGAAATAGGGGAAGGGGGGAATGGGGGCGGATGGGGAAATAGGGGAATGGGGGAATGGAGGCGGATGGGGAAATAGGGGAATGGGGGAATGGGGGCGGATGGGGAAATAGGGGAATTGGGGAATGGGGGCGGATGGGGAAATCGGGGAATGGGGGAATGGGGGCGGATGGGGAAAAAGGGGAATGGGGGAATGGAGGCGGATGGGGAAATAGGGGAATTGGGAAATGGGGCCGGATGGGGAAATAGGGGAATTGGGGAATGGGGGCGGATGGGGAAATGGGGGAATGGGGGCGGATGGGGGAAGGAGGGCGGATGGGGGAAGGAGGGCGGATGGGGGAAGTAGGCAAGACGGATCGGGGAAGGAGGGGGTGAGGTGACACCCGGCACGCCTCCTTCCCCCATCACCCTTCAGATTCCCCGCTCCCTCCTTCCTCTTCCGCCCTCCGCCTTCCCCCACACAACCTGAGCGCAATGCACCCGTTCAATTTTCCTTCTCTCTCCCTCTCTCCTCTCCTCCTCCCTTGTCCCCCCTTCCCCTTCCCTCCCCCGCCTCTCCTCCGCCCGTTTCCCTACCTTCCCGTCCCCCCCCCCCCCCCCCCCCCCCCGCGTACCCTGATCCGACGGGTCCGCCGATTCCAACGGTAAACGCGCGCTCCGCCAGGTCGCGGTTCGGCAGGGGCGGCGCGCGCAGCGCGAAGCTCCCCGCGCTGTCGAGCGGCTCGTGCGAGTGCGGCGCGAGCCCGTCGTGCGAGTGGTACACGCGCCCGTCCGCGCCGCGGAACTCGTCGGCCGGTGCTGACGCGTCGCCGCTGGATTGGACAAGTGGTTCCCCAAAAAAATGAGCACACATGAAGATGAGGAAAAGGGGAGAGGCGGAAAATTATATTATGATAAAATAGGGATGGAATAGAAAAAGGAATGCACGCATCAACGATTGGCGGCCATAAAGGCACGCTCGATTACGGTAGAACGAGAATGGATTCAAGGGATCACTGACGTTCCAGGATGGTCGTGGTTATGGTGGTGGTGGTGGTGGGGATGGTGATGGTCGTCGTCGTGCGAATGCGAATGCGCGTGCGCGTGCAAATCCGCGGCATGACCGTGGCTACGCGCGGTTCCGCCTTCCGCCTGCTGCCGCCCTTCCGCTCCTTCGTCCCCAGCCATTCGTTTTCTAAGATTTGATTCGTAGCAGACTGCTGCTTCTAAGAACTAATTCGAAGAAAACTGCTGCTGCTCTTAAGTTGCAAGACCCACAATGGCCAAAAGCAAGAATCTCGTAAAACTGCTGCTCCGAGTAACTCGTGTATCAGAACAGAAACGAGGGGAAAAGGAACAAAAAAAGCAGCCAGCCCGCGTCGCGCGTCGAAAGCCAGTACCTGGAGCAACCCCCTTGGGACTTCCGCAGCAACAGGAATCGAGCAGCTTAGGCAAGCCGTGGCAAGCAACCCGCTCGATGAAATGGCTTCGAGTAGAAAGGAGAGGCGACAGCAGCGAGCAGTAATTGAAAAGCCTTTTTTATCTAGAGTGAAATAGCTTTGCAAGATCGGTGCTCCAGAAAATCTCGGGGTGGAAAGCTCACAGAGCACGATGATTGGACTTAGAGCGGACAACGGAGCAGCCTGCGATATGGACGAGGCTTATATTGCGGATAGAATGGGTTCTGAAAATAAGTGATGTAAGGGCGGGTCAGGTAGGTTCCGTTTTCACAATTTTTTCTTTTCATCCCCGATTTGAGTGCGTAACTGTACTTTTTATGCAATTTCCTATCGCGGACACGAAACGAACAGTGAGTCGGTTCAGGATGAAAATGTCCTGGAATGTTTGGTGGTTACGACTTCAGGTTCATGCCAGAAACGTGCAGCAGTTCACAATTTGTCCAGCAAAGGCTAGAGTAACAAACCTTTTCGCCTAGCTGACTTCGCTCTCTTCGCCTTTTCCGCCCGCTCGCCAAATCTTTGCCTCCCTATTGCCAATGCAGGGTGGCGTGTGTGCTGTTCGCGCCATTGATTCGCGAGAATGTGGTAACTATTTTTCAGGCAGGGGGGTGGTTGTGTGCATGAACTGATCTGTGTCAGAACACGCTTCACGTCATGACTAGTTTGACTCGAACTGAACATAAAACACTGCTCGGTACAGTCAGAGAAATTGACACAAAATGCGTTATTTTTACGAAAATGGCTGAAACGCAACCTACCTGACCCGCCCTAATCGATGGCGGCTCAGCTTGATAATCGCAAGTGTAATGGTCAACTCGCTATTGCATCTACTACCACTCGTCTTCATTTTGTGGAGGGGATGATCGGGCCTAATAAAAAAAAGGCTCAGGAGCTTCGTTTCACACTTGAAAATGAGCACCCTGTGGGTACGTCCATGAAAATACAGTCCCAAAGTGCTGAATTCATCCCTTGGCTCCAGACACTGCGTCGCTCGGCTCGTGACGATGCCACCCTGGCCCGTTTCACATCCCTTCAGGGCCCGGGGGCTGGTGCATGGGTTTCGGCGGTTCCGGCTCACTCAGATCTCACATTCACTGCGGCGGAGTGGGGCATTGCTGCTGCTATACGGCTCGGGCTCCCAATTCAGCAGCTGCAGGTGGCGGGGAGGTGTGTTTGTGGCACAGCATATGTTGACTCAGCAGACCCGCATCATGCCCTGAGATGCAAGCACCAGCATGGTCCATCTCGGGTACATGATGAGGTGAAGTTTGCGGTGGCGAAGATCTCTAAGGCGTCTGGGGGGGTGGTGACAATGGAGGATAGTGTGGTGCTGCAGGGGAAGCGGGTTGATGTGGCGGTGCGACGACCAATGGCTGGAGAGGCTCACGCCCTGGAGATCAGCGTCGCGGACCCGCTATCGCTGTCTCCATCTTTGCTAGGACAGTGCGGGCGTCAAATAGGCGTGGCGGCAAGAGAATGGGAGCGTCGTAAAACGAGCGATTACGCGCCTCTGCTTGCACGCAACCGGGGCGTGCAGTTCACTCCTCTGATAGTGGAGACGTGGGGGTGTCTCGGCGGTCGCTTTCGGAGGTGGCTTCGTCAGCAGGGAGATGCGCACGTGGGGCTAGCTGTGTCGCGGGGGGCTTGTCGGGAGGACGACACTGTGTTTTCGGCTTATCTTCTAGGGTCACTGAAGGCGCTCATCGGGGTGGCGTTGCAACGTGCGCAAGCCCGTGTCATCCTGCTTCGAGCGGCGTCTTCTATGGGGGGGATTAACGTTGACTTGGTGGACCGGGAGTGGGACGATGGCGATGCGGAAGGCGGGGCTCTCTGGGTGGAGGCCCCGTACATGGTGGATTCGCTGTTGTGATTGGGGGGGGGGGGGGAAATGGGGTGTGGGATGGGATGTCTTGACAGGGTGTCTTGACTGGGCGTTTTGATTGGGTATCTTGAGGGGGGGTTTTATGTGTGTTGCATTTGGGTTCTTCTTGGCGGTTTCACTTTCCTTCTCCCTTTCTCTTTTCTTTTCTTTTCTTCATCACTGGAGATATACCACATTACATCTCAACACTGCTTGGCTGGTCGGTTTGGCCCCATGAGGCTCCCGAATGTTGACTATAAGTCGCTGATGTTCGTCACTGCAAATGAAACCCTATTAATTAGCCGTGGCACTCATCTGCTAAGAGCGTGTTCCTCCGGCCTCATATCAGGCCACCTCGTACCAAGAATGTACTTTTCGCCAGGTAAAACTAACGAGAGGTTTTTGGTTTTGGGGAATTTTGAGTGAGAGCCTGATATGAGGTTCGACTGATACGAGGTGTAGGAACACGCTCTAATGAAAACACACATACCATAAAAACTCTACATCAACACACATATAACTCCTGTGTGAAAAGGGCAGGCCAAACAATAAATTACTCATACCACCAATGTCCTGAGCTTTTCGATCATAGGGCTCAACAGCTGGTTGCGATAACCACTGCCACATGCGCATGGGTGGCATTCCTGGCATGGCATATGGCATGGCAGCAGGGCTTCAGATTCGTTTTGGGCCACCCTTAGTAATCAGGGTTCTAGGTATAGTCAACCCTGATGCGTAGGGTAAAAATTTTGTTTCCCTGACAAATGCAGGGTAAAAAAACAGTTAGTCTGTTTGGGCAGGGTATTCTTAAAAACTTATGGTTAGTTTGAATCTCGACGCATCCAAGATCAGTGGCTAGTAGTTCAGCTAGTTCGATTGCGCATTAGATCTGTAATAACGCAAGGTCAAATCTCACTGATGGTATCGTTTTGCAGGGACCTGTATAGTGTTCCGTCTCGCTACGGAGCACTCAGTACCAGTATAGCTTGGATTGTACACTGTACAGTCAGAGTAATGTGTTCCTTATGCTGTTTTTCAAAGGGTATTGAAAAACTTACACTTTCTGGCCTAGGGTAAAAAATCCACTACCATGCCTGTGAAAGGGTAACTGAAAAAAAGCGGCCGCCAGTCAGTGCAAAAAAGGGTATTTTACCCTGATAACGAGAGGCCTGCATGGCAGGCACATGCAGGTACTGCGGACCGGGTGTAGCTGCAGCAGCAGCACCAGCTGAACCAGCTGAGCCACCACCAGCAGGCACAGTAGCAGCAGCACCAGAAGCAGCAGATGAACTAGCTGAAACACCAATACCAGCAGCAGCAGTAGTAGCACCAGTTGAACCACCATCACCACCAGTTGAACCACCATCACCACCAGTTGAAACACCACCACCACCACCAGCAGAACCAGCAGCTGAACCGGCAGAACCACCACCACCGCCAGCAGGAGCAGGATGTTTTGGCACGTGACATGTACCATTCCTGTCTTGCATAGTACGAGGCTGGGGTCGGTGAGGGTGCGAGTGGAGATGAGGGAGAGGATGAAGCATCCCCCCAGGCATGAACGGAATGGGCATCAAGCCCATGGGTGCTCCCATTGGGCCCAGCTTGCCCGGCTCACACACCAGATGCAGCATCACGGGCACAGCACCAGGCGAACCCGGAGAGCCCGGAGCACAAGGCGCAAACCCAAGAGGAGGAGAAACAGCAGCTGCCTGCCGGGCGGCTGAAGAAACCATCGATACTGCTGCTGAAGTGGCGGCCGTGGATTGGGCGGCACCAGATGCGGCCAAGCTGTCAAGGTGAGAGAGGAATGATGTCGACTAGTTTGGGGCATGGGGTACAAAAGTGACGAGAGAAAAGTTGTACCCCTAAGAAACACCCCTACAAAACCTAAACCTAAATTATATAAATCATATAATTTGACACACCCCCATAGGTGAAGTAGGGGGATAGCCAAACCTAACAGGGGTCACAAGACCAGTTCACATGCAGGTTTATAACACAGCAAGAGATACAGTGATCACATCCTAGCAAAAGTAAACATGCAGGCATATATATATATATAGTGATCACAGTACAAGCAGGGTCAAGAAGTAAGCAAGTGAGGTCCAGTAGGCACAAGGCCTAGCAGAGTGCAAAAGCGCTGATGGTCAACAGGCGGAAGCGCCTTGGTGAACACATCAGCAGTGTTGGCCTCAGTGGCCACGTAACGCAGACAAAGCTGACCACGCTGCTGCAGCTCTCGAGCAAGAAAGTACCGCAGAGCAATGTGCTTCGTTCTGTGCTCCAGTCTGTGCTCCTGACACAAGGCAATGGCAGCCTTGTTGTCGACGTACAGCACTGGAGGAGAACCAGGCCGCTCTCCAAGGTCGGTCAGCAGGTAGGTCAGCCAGCGTAGCTCCTGGGCAGCCATGGCTGTGGCGTAGATCTCAGCCTCACAACTGGAGCTGAGAACAGAAGAAGAGCGTGTAGAACGCCAGGAAACTGAGCCTGAGCCAAGGCTGAAGGTGTAACCCTGTGACGACCGCTGTGTAGCCTGGTCGTCTGCCCAAG